GATCAAAAAGGTTTTACGTGAGTAAATAGTTCATGGTACAAGATCAAATATTCCTTCCACTACACCGATTGTGTGGCACAAGGACATTACTACGGTACCATTTTGTCTACCACTCTCACTAAGCATTATGCAGGAATACAGCTGGAATTCTAGAATTCCAATTCTACTCTCCAATGGATCTTTCTAAGCCTATATAAAGAAGCCCTTGGAAGATGGAAGAAGAACTTTGGACAAGAACTTTTCACGCGAAATTTCAATGAGAACTTGAACGTAAATATTTAATACTTGTGAGAAAATTTGTAAAGCAATGAACATTTATTCATACACTTGCTCAAAAATGCACTTTTGTGTTAATCATTGTATTTCATTTGTGTAATCTGCTTTCATATAAGCAACTTTGTAAACACGCCTTTGTATCTCAAACTTTTAGTTGTTATTCCTTGAGAGACTAGGGTATATCCAAAAGTCTCAAGAAGACATTGACATTAGGTCTTTGTGGTTATAATCAAGTTTGGTTATAGTGGATTAAGTCCTTGTGAGAAGACGAAATCACCTTGGCGGGTGGACTGGATGTAGCTTCGTTAACAGCGAACCAGGATAAAAAATATTGTGTTCATTATTTTTATTCTAAGTTATTTGTCCTTTGTTTTGGGCCACGAAAAAGTTTCATTCTAGAAACCCAATTCAAACCTCTTTTCTTGTGTTTTTTTAACCATCAATTGACATCAGAGCTCCAGTTTTGGTATTGATTGTTTATCAAATACTTCACCCTGTCAGATAAAGATCCATATTTTTTTGAGACACGGTGGTAGAAGTCCCTCCACCAGTTGCACCCGTTGTTAATGAAAGAGATCACTATAGTACCAAACCTCCAGTTTTTTATGGAGAAAAATTTGATTACCGGAAAGACATAATTGAAAATTTCTTTCTTTGTCACGATGTAGATTTATGGGATATGGCAGTTGATGGCTAAGTACATCATGTTGATGCTAGTGGTAACAAGATAGAAAGAAAGGTGATGACCGAGCAATAGAAGAAAGACTACAAGAATCATAACAAACCTAGAACCATTATGTTGAATGTTATTTTGTAGTCTGAGTATGAGAAGATCACAAATAGAGACCCAACTAAGTCTATATTTTATTCTTTGAGGATGACTCATGAAGGAAATACTCAAGTGAAAGAAACCAAGACGTTTGCCTTGATACATAAGTATGAAGCCTTCAAAATGGAGAATGATGAAATTGTTGAGAACATGTTCTCAAGGTTTCAAACTCTAGTTGCAGGACTGGAGATTTTGAATAAAAGCTACTCTACTGCATATCACTTTAAGAAGATTATCAGAAGCTTACCCAAGAGATGCAGGTCTATAGTAACTGATTTGAAACTATATAAGGATCTGAACAACACTACTATTGAGGAACTGGTTAGTTCTTTGAGAAGTCACAAGATAGAGTTTGAAGAAGATGAGCCTCGAAGAAAAGAAAAGTTTGTAGGTTTGAAATCTATGTGAAAGTCTAATTAGAGTCTTTCAAGCTAAAGAAGAAGAAGAAGAAGAAGAAGAGGAATCTGAAGAAGATTCTGAAGAAGAAGATGAGATGTCTCTTCTCTCCAGAATAAGGGTGTTCACAGTGCGGTATGGGTGGTTTTGACGTAAAAAGTCATCCGAACCGCAAGAGAAAAAAGTGTGTGATTCGATTTGATTCAGTTAGCTTTTAGAAATAAAATCAAACTAAACAATACCAAATCAATGCGGTTTGGGTTGGTTCAGTTTTTTATAAAAAAATTATTAAGTCATACATAAACATATAGATGACAATATAGCTTTGTATTTAATCATTTATGCATTATCAAACAACAACAAAATTTATCATATTTGAACAACAAATTTCCATTTAATATGCAAAAATAAGATTAGAGAAAAGTGGAATAAAAAATATAAAACAGTAGCATAAAACAATATAAAAAAAATTATAACGAAATAGAAAAACAAATAATATGAAAGATTAGAGAAGATGAAATAGAAATAGTAGAAGAGGGGCGATATTAGAGAAGAAGATGTGCATTTAAAACGTAATTGGAAGAGAGAATAGTAGAATAAAAATAATAAGATGAAAAGAAATAACATAAGAGATTAGAGACTAGAGAAGAAGAGACGAGATATACTTGAAAGAGAAGATGAGAATAATGTGTGATACTGCTAGGAGAGATTTGAGAAGACTTAAACTAAAACCTTAAGTGATAAGAAGAGAAAATCATTCGTAATCATAAGGCTAAGGTATAATAGGTTTGGGTTTGAGTTGGATGTGGGTTAAGTGAAGCTTGGATTATAACATAATGCGGTTTGATTCGGTTTGATTTGGTTTGTAAAATACAAACCGCAAACTGAACCGCACAGTTTTGTTACAAAATAGTCCAAATACATCCGAACTAAATATGATTTTTCGCGGTTTCGGTTTGGTTTGGTTTGATTTTGCGGTTTTATATTAGATCAGTTCGGTTTTGAACACCCCTACTCCAGAAGGGTTAACCAACTCAGGAAGAAAAGGCAAGAAAGTTCAGATGAGCCAGAAGGACAGGTGGTCGCTTCGAATATACTTCTGGACAAAAGAAGTCTGGTGCTAGTAAAGACATTACATGATTTGAATGCAAGGATTCGGGTCATTACAAGAATAAATGTTTCAAACTTAGAAAGGACAAGCCCAAGAAGAAAGTCTTCAGAAGGAAAAAAAAAAAAGAAAAGGCTGATGGCTACCTGGAATGATTATGACTCTTTAGAAGATGACTCTGAGGAAGAGCAAGGGAACATGGCATTAATGCCAAGCATCAAGGCGTCTGATGAAAAGACTCCATCAGAATTACAGTCAGACTCAGAAGAGGTATTTCCTAACCTTTCTCGTTATGAACTAGCATCTTGTCTATCTGAAATTCTGGAAAAGTATCAGAAGCTTCAGAACAAATACAAGGATCTGAAACAAATCCATGTATTTGAATATGAAGCACATAGTAAGTTTAAGAAAGAATTATGCATTTTAAATGAAGAAAATTTAATTCTTAATAATGACAACTCTGCCCTTAAAAGCAAGAATTCAAAACTTGAGGAAGAAATTCTTTCAGAAGCTTCTGTGGATTATGAGAATGTTATAAAGAAGTATGACAAAGCTTTTCATACATTTCTGGCTAAAAGCATATATAGAATCCAAATAACTTCAATGATCTATGGAGTTAGCAGAATGGAACAAGAGATCTTGGTTATGTGCCTAAAAAAAACCTAAGGCAAAACTAAAAGCTCCTTCTCGTTTCAACTATACATATTTGTGAATATGAAATAGCTCTTAGGTTTTTCTACTCGTCTTATGTTTATTTATTTATTTTGATCATTTTAGGAATTGAGTCTCTTCGTTGTTAGTCCTATACACATCTCTTATATTTATTAAATCATATTGCTAAATTAGTCTCTAAAATGGATGACCATAAAGGAAAATCTCTCACTAATTCAAACACACAATATTTTGATTTTTTTATTTGAAAAAATACTTATAATAACCATACTTCGATTTTTTTAATGATCTTTTTCATGTAAATTTATCATTTTATAAGCATCTCTCCCACAAAAAAAAAAATTTGGAGTTTTTTTTACCTAGGATGAAATAAGTATAAATTTTTTAAGCGTTGATTTTTCATAAAATTGAAAAAAAAGTAAATCTTAGCATCTGATTGAATTTTTAGTTAATTTTTTTAGGGACTTCATTCATAAGACAAAAAGATATGCAAAGTTTAGTGGCATTTTAAACAAGTCTCAATTTATTTTGATTTTTAATCGAAACACGTATAAACTTTTCTTTTTGACATAGGAAATTTTGCAATTCCTCTCTATTTATTTATGGGATGTGATGTGCAGCCTATGTTATATTTATGGATTTTGTACTTCTTGAAAAAAATACATTTACATGTATTTCGGTCAAAAATTTCAAAATAATTTGAGATTTATTTGAAATGCCACAAAATTTTGCAGACCTTATATATTATGAGAAAAATCTTGTAAAATGTTAGCTCAAAATTCAATTATATCTCAAAATTTACACTATTTTTGTTTTAAGAAAAACCTACACTTGAAAATTTCATATTTAATCATCCCACGTAAAAAAAAAACTCAGATATTTATAAAAGAGATGCTTATAGAACGATAAAGTTTCATGAAAAAAATCAAAGTCCTATTCATTATAAAAATTGAGATTTTGGGATTGAATTAGCTGCAATGTCTGAGCGTTCATCTTGGCAATAGATATAACAGTAGATTTACCACATCATTATATAGTTAATTAATGAACAATGCCATGTGTAATACTACCTCAGTATCTTTACCACATTGATATTACTACTTATGCACAGAGTCACCAAAAAAATTCATGTGGTAATATGTCAACTTCTGTTAATCAATGTTAAAAACAAATCAAAAGTGTGGATAGAAAACATTAACGAGAGATTGCTTAACAATTAAAATAAATTTTCATATATTTAAAGAGATCATAACATATATTTAACCTTTTTAATTATTTAGTTCAAGCCTTCAGTTTTGTTATTCAAATTGTAAACTCTCGTTCTTCCTTTTTGAACTTGACTATCATGCAAACAAGCATTAGTCACTGTAGTATGTATTCTAAATTGGAATGCAAATCTACACAATGATTATCCTAAAAACACACTACCTATTGAGACTTCTACAATATTGACAAAAAATTGAGACACTAACGATCATAAGTAGATTTTACAAATTTATTTCTGCAAATAGAACGGATATGAGTCCTGCTATAACCCCCATACAATTGTTTAAATTACAAATAATATTTATTTAACTTATAAATCGATATTATGCATTCGTCTTATAAAAGAGACATGATAAATATCCTGGACAAAATTTAGAAGTTGACAAAAAGTAAAATATCACTTAAACTTCAATTTAAAAAATGAGATCAAAATTCTGTTATCATTTTTTATCTCTAAATAGCACTTTGATACTGTGACCATTTTAGTAAGTCGTCTTCACTATCATCAGATTGCTCTGGAATTGGATATGCCATAGAATCTTCTTGATTTGTAACATCTATGTGATCCTGCTCCAGCTCCTGCTTAGTTGTTGCAACCTCTTCCTGCATTCAGATTACAAGAGTCTTGAAAATTAGCAAGGTCAATTATGGAATAATTAAAGATTTAGACTTCAGATAGCTAATGATCCAGGATAAAAGCTTTAAGAAACGGACTGAACCAACTAAAAATGTTACAATTTTGGTAGAAAGACCAGTTAAACTCCACATTTCCACATGAAAAGGTCATGCAATAAATATTTGATAAATATGACATTATATAAGAAAATGACCATAAAACAAGTGCATCAAAAGAATAGTGACATTAAAAAATAAAACAAAACTGTGTGCATACATTAGTTTCCGATGTCGGGTTCTCAGCCTCCTCCCCCAGCATTAAATCTGAGGCATCTTCAACCGTATCTTGTTCTTCCTTATTAGAGTTTTGTTTCTGCCTCTCAACCACCAATTTAAAAAAAGAGAGATCTACAGGACAGAAGAGTGTAGATTTTAATCGGTAAAGTTTTAGTCCCTCATCAAGGAATATATAAAGAACAATAAACCATTCTAAACTAACAAATTAATAATTAGCCATGAAGTATAGAGTAAACATCATAGAAAATGATTGAAGAGTTTAACCTTTTGAACGACTATTCACAGCATCAGATAACTGTAAAGGATGTTGCCGCTCTTCCTTCTTGTACTTCAACTTAACTTGATGACGCGTTTTATCAGGGAAAAGCTGTTGTATCATAGAAAAATCTGTGCCAAACTGCCTAACAGCCTATGTTTGAAAAATGAATAGTTAATTTATAGAAAGGGACGGTCCTTCCTTCCCCGCTTTCCCCAAAACCAAAAAGACAATTGTATAACAGCATTTAAGAAAATATTAATGCCAGACATTGTAAGAATTATGCAAATACCTCATAAAACACTTCAGTATCTTGCTTTGACCATTTTCCCCTAGGTGCCTTGTCCATGAAAGACTGGTAATTCAATAAGGGGGCAGTGGATGTAAACCTCTCACTTACCTGATCATCGTCATCAGGGTCTCTATATTCATCATCTGAACCAAAAAACTCCTCTTCATTATTAACATCAACCTCATGAAGAAAATCCCCATCACTGCATATAAACATTTTGAGAAGTGAAATCCATACAGAATACTGTATATGACTCAACAGAGACAGTAACAAGTAACAACAGCCAGTGGATAGGTATGAAGTGAATTTTATATAATATAATGTTTTCCCTTATCCTTTTTGTTCAGTACTAGTGAGGAGAGGGGGTTGTGGTCTGAATGCATGAAGTGCCTTGATGAATACCAAAAATAGGAAGGGCCTTCCATTTATCTAAGATTTTACTACTCACTAACTCTCATAATAGACTTGAGTTTCTCAAAATTTGAGAAATGTGATTGGGTCAGAAACAAAATGATGTGTTAGAATCCATACTAGAGTGGCTACCTTAACCAATGAGCACTGACCCAATACCATGTTGGTTAAGCAATTGGTTACCGTGAAAAATAAAGGGGGTGCATGGAGAGGGGGAGGTAAAAGAGGAAAATAGGTTATAAATGAGTAAAGGAGGGAGGATCAATAAAGGAAGGAGAAGTTGAACAGCCATGAGAATATGCCTGAATGCATCTGTGGCGTATCAGAAGCATACCGACGCCGTTTAATGTTTTTTAAAATAAAATAAAAAAATCAATTGGATACTCTTTGATACGTATTGACAGCATATCCCATCATATCGAGTACGAGATGTGATCATTTTCACATATCCGTATTTGAAAAGCTGTAACTAACAGAATCAATTATGGCAGTTATTGACTTATTACAGCTGTAAAATAGTTCATAACTTACGACTAAACAAAAGATAGCTATATAAATTGCACTATGTAATTATGGTACTCATTATGTCACGTCTACCATCCTCCATGCCTCAACCCACCTGAACCAACTTGCTGAAGGATGAAAATAATGGAAGACTTTTGACAACATGGCAATCCATATAGTCAAACTATTGACTTTCTGAAGGACTTCATAGACTCGTTGAATGAAAGATGTAGTATATGCCGTATGATGGTTTTTGTGCAGGGCATTCATACGTCTCCAACAACCAACCAAAAACAATAATTTTGCTTTGTTGAGTTAGTTTCTCAACATTTTCAGAGATCTCTTACTTCAATGTATGAATCACAAATCAAGTATTAGTGGTATACGCTAATTTGCAGCATAGTTATATATTATCATATAATTTTTACAAAAGATAAACATTAACCAGAAAATATATGTAGTGTTGTGTAATGGTTTAACTGAAAGCTAACAGAAAAGTAACCGGCTCTAACTTACTCTATCAAATAATATATACTAAACTTCTCAAGTTACTAGCTATTACACACATAAGCTGTATAGTGTACCTTTGATTGGTGGAAGATGTTTTAGAAGTTGCTGCCTCCTTTTTCTACATCGAGAAACAAATGGAACAGTAGGTGAAATTTAACCCATAATGCTTAATGCCAATTGTTAGCATTGTAACACAATAATTATAGTTGAGAATACTCACCGCTAATCGCTCCTTATACTCTGCAAGTAAAATAATATCCCTAATAGGTAATGTTCGCTGATCAAGAAATTCATCCTCCAGCAGAGCCTTGTCCACTATGAAAATGAAAATACTTTCACAGTAAGCATATAAAATATAACCATCATAGAGAACAGCTAAAAATATAGTCTGATAAGTTTACCACTTCTTCTTCGCCGAGATGAATGCGGGAACTTTTTAGGAGCTTCATCAGTTACCTTTTCAATATCACCATTAGCCTTCTTGCGTTTTCCAGATGTTTTTCCATTTTTAGCCAGAGATTTCTTCTTTGAATTTGTTGATGCTTTTTTCTTTTTGGGTGAACAAACCACTTCGTCCTCATCATTGTTTTCTTCAACTTCATCTCCAGCAAAATCATAAGGAGGGTCGAGGACATCATCATCCTCAATAGCCTTATTCAATGAGCTTATAGCAAGTTTACGAGCTGCTTTGTTTCTTGTCTGCCTTGAGGTTTTAGCACCTTTATCCTCCACGCCAGTAGTAGAAGATCTTTTATGCTTCTTTGGAGATTTTATTGTCTCAATAGTGACCTGAGAAAGGTTGCAAATAAAATGACAAATCATCTACAAATCATAGAAGTGGAAAAAATGACAAATCATAATGACAGATATTTACTTCTTTCTCTCCAGTCCCGTCTTGCTGCAAAAAGTCAGCCAATGTGGGACTACCTGCAAAGTTTATCAATCCTTCATGCCTTGGAATTTCATATGGTGAATCAGTGCCGGATTTCATGGATTGATAATCATAGACATTACTCATTTCGCAGTCAGGATTCAACTCTGCACCTTCCTGAAAACCAATAACAACCATGGGCATTTTTATACAAAAAAAAATGATCATTTATTTAGCATCATATGTTTTAGAAAATTAATAAATCACATAATCTTCACCTGTGATTCCGGCCTACTCTTGCCACCAGATGAAGCAGAAGCAATAGCTGGTGTATTGCTGACTCTAGGTCGTGGCTTAACCTTGGGTTGAAACTTACGAGCTACAGTGAAAACAAATACAGATGATTAATCTTTTCAGGCATCTGAAGTAAGTTTACAATAACATCAACATTACTAACCATTCCCAATGCCATTATCAGGGAGGATAATGCTGAAAGGATCCAACTCAATTTCGGCAGACAATACCTGGAAACAATATATACACCATATGTTGACTACACTACACCCATCTGAAACAAAAGATCAATAAAATTCAAAATTGTACCTCCCCCACCTTTCCAAACTCAAAATTTGAATGAATGTTACTCTCAGGAATTGCAGTGATAGTGTCTCCTGAAGCACTTTTGAAGCCCGCGTTTAAGCTAACTTCCAATGAATTATCAATAACTTGCAAACTTTTGTCCGTACTGAGAACTGAACCTTCCCCAATTTTAGGCAGTTCTTCCATCCTAACTATGGTTGAGGAGATAGTAGATGGATCAGCCACATTATTCAATTGATTATCTACATCAATAGCAAGGGGAAGTGATTATGCTGTTACTAAATCACATGATAGATATGAAATGCCCTATCCTACACCTTATAACACTTGTAAAGGGGATTCAAACATAACTCACCGTTATTGAGACCAGACTTGATAGGCTCCTCAGCCGAGGAACTTACATTGTTAGAAACTCCTTCAGATTGTTTGTGAGTGGCAGATGAATCAAGATGAACATTGTTGTCATCGTTTGATGCAGATACATTCTTTGGAGGCGGTTGCTTCGGTTTAGCCTTAGGCGCAAACCTGGCACCAGGTCTAGCTACAAAACGATAGAGTATAGATATACAGAATCAACAAAAAAGAATGCATAGATTGAAAAGAAGAAGAGAGAGAAAGGTTTTCGTTTGAATTAGCGGTTACCACGTGTAGTAGGAGGAGTAGGAGCAATATCATCAAAAAGATTTTCCATGAATGAGTTAATCAGGTTTTCCTGCTCCTTTACATGCAACAACGAATGTGTTGAGAATTAACCGATGCGACTCAGTTGGATTTGGCAGAGGCGGTTATCGCGGTGGAACTGCAACCGCGCAGGTGGACGAGTTCCTCACTCTTTCTGGGTCAGTCGAGTTCAGTTCGATTTCAACTTGTCTCGGATACAATGTTTTTTTTTTGTTTGAGGGAGTTGCTGAGTTTTTCGTCTATTACCTTATGTTTGGATAGATGGAATCACATGGAATAAGTTGTTTGGATAGATGGGATCATATGGAACAAGTTTAGATTTTATTGTTTGGATTAATTTAAAATTTTATATAATATTATGTGTTCATTTTATTTCATCATTTTTTTATTTATTTTTTGTTTGAATGACAAGAGAAAGTAATAGGAAATAATGCATTGCTAACATGTTAAACATATTTTAGTTCAAGGAAAAAAATAGAAAGAGAGGATGCATGATTATATATGTATATAATACACTGTAAATATATTAACAAAATATAAAATAAATGTATTTATATAACCTTCGTATAAATAAAATATTGTTAGGCTTGGTTGCAGTTTATACCTCTACTGGTTATGATGATAGAAGGAGGTTATGCCATGATCTCTATATTTGTCATTATTCTAAAAGTATATTCCGATATGTTTGTGGGTGTTTTGTTAGAACAAGCACAAAACCTTGTATGTGAATCAATGGAGATGATGGATAATTTTGGTGAAATTAGAGGATTGGGGAAGATCAAGTTTAGAGAGAATAGAGATTAATTGAGAGGGTAAAAAATCATATGGCATTAATTCCATTCAACATGTTACAAAATGTATATATAGTGCCTGCTAACACTAAACAAAGTAACAAAACAGGGTTTCCTGCAGCATACTGGCAGCTTTTCCAAAATAGCTTCTCAAATAAGCTATTCTCCAAAAACACTTCAAAACCAATTACACTGCATTTGACTTATTCTAATCATTCAACACACCACCTTAAGTCAAATGCTCAATGTTCTTCATGCCCAACCTCACCACGAGTCGCTTGAAAACATCATTCGTAACCGCTTTCGTCAACAAGTCCGCGACCTGTTCTTCACTTCTGCAGTAGCTCAAACGTAACTGTCCAGAACTTACTAAATCTCTCAAGTAATGGAATCTCATCTCAATATGCTTGCTCCTCCCATGTGCTATGGGATTCTTAGCAAGGTTGATGGCTGAAACATTGTCCACCAACAGCAGAACAGCTCCTCCCGTCTTGCTGTCCAGCTCACGCAGCAGGTTCACTAGCCACACAGCTTGGCATGCACATAACGAAGCTGCGATATACTCCGCCTCACAAGAAGAGAGAGCAACCACCGGCTCCTTTTTAGAACACCAAGAGATTGTTGCTCCTCCGAACATAAAAACATAACCGGCCGTTGATTTGCGATCGTCCTTATCTCCGCACCAATTGGAGTCGGTGTATCCGAGTAATTCGCAACTTTTGCCCATGTCACTTGCAGGAAATAAAATCCCACAACCAAGAGTACCTTTCACATATCTAAGGATCCTCTTAACCGCTGCCAAGTGTGATACCTTCGACCTCTCCATGAACCTACTTGCAATACCGACACTAAACGCTAAATCTGGCCGCGTATTGCACAAGTAACGCAATGATCCTATCAATCTCCGGTATTGAGTAGGATCCACATCTTGCTCATCTTCACTCTTGGACAGCTGTAAACGTGCCTCGGCTGGTGTTGTGGCAGCATTACAATGCTCCATATCACACCTCTTCAAAATCTCCATTGCATACCTTCTTTGATGCATGAGCAGTCCCAACTTTGTTTTTTGGAACTCTATGCCTAAGAAGTATTTCATAGAGCCAAGATCACTCATTTCAAACTCCCCCATAAGCTCTTCTTTGAACTTTGAAATGTACTTTTCACAACTGCCCGTAATCAACAAATCGTCCACATAAAGACAAAGTATGATTACTCCTTTGCTTTTATCCGACTTCACATACACACCGTGTTCGGATACGCACTTCTTGAAACCAATGTTGATAAGAAAAACATCTATGCGTTTGTTCCAAGCTCTTGGAGCTTGTTTCAAACCATAGAGTGCCTTCCTTAATTTGTAGACCCTTTCCTCTTGATTTTGTATCACAAAACCAGGTGGCTGTCCAACATACACTTCCTCATCCAATGGACCATTCAAAAACGTTGATTTGACGTCCATTTGATATAACGACCAGTTGTTGTTATTTGCAATCGCAACAACTAACCGGATGGTTTCATGCCTTGCAACCAGTGCGAATACCTCATCAAAGTCTATGCCTTCTTTTTGCAAAAATCCCTTTGCTACCAATCGAGCCTTATGCTTGATTATCTCGCCTTTCGGATTTGCTTTTACTTTGTAAACCCATTTCACACCAATCGCCTTTTTACCTTTCGGTAAATCAACCAACACCTAAGTATTGTTCTTCTCAATCGATTTCAACTCTTCCTTCATTGCACACATCCATTTTGGATCGCTTAATGCCTCCTCTGTATTTACCGGTTCGGATTCGGCCATTAAAGCGAAATGAATAAGATCACCATCATTGTTGATCTTACTATCTCGGAACAGTTCACAATCTCGGAGTCTTTGAGGCATACCTCTATGCCTTGTTGGTCTACCCTCATTCACAACATTGTTTTCAGCTGCTGTAGGTGCTGGTACAGCGGCATCAGACAACTCCGGATCAGAGATTTCAAAAAACTGTTGCTGCTGATTTTCTGCTGCTGTTTCTGCACTTTTGATTTCATCAAAAGTCACGTCCCAGCTTATCACGATCTTCCGATTCTTCTCATCAAACAGCTTGTAACCACCAGTAGAGTGATATCCAACAAATATCAACTTATCACCTTTATCATCCAACTTCTTTCTAAGTTGATTTGGTACATGACGATATGCAATCGATCCAAAAACACGCAAATGAACCACACTCGGTTTGAAACCACTCCAAACCTCTTCCGGTGTGATTTTCTCCAGCTTCTTAGTAGGACACCTATTCAACAAGTAGGTGGCTGTAGATACGGCCTCACCCCACAATTCTTTAGGTAACTTCTTCCCACAAAGCATGCTACGCACCATGTTCATTATTGTACGATTTTTCCTCTCGGCAGCCCCGTTTTGTTGAGGCGTATATGGAGGCACCACCTCACGCACAATACCCTCAAGATCACAAAACTTCCCAAATTCACTAGAGGTATATTCACCTCCACCATCCGTTTTGAGAATTTTGAGCTTCCGGCCGCTTTGACGCTCCATCATGGATTTGAAACTCTTGAACACTCCAAATACCTCATCCTTTCTCTTGATAAGATAAGTCCAAAGCTTCCTACTAAAATCGTCAATAAACGTAACAAAATATCGATTGCCGTCATATGTCTCTACTTGCATTGGTCCACAAACATCGGAATACACCACCTCAAGTAAGTCTTTGGCTCTCCGACCCGCATCCTTGCTAAACACCTTCTTGTGTTGCTTAGATGTGACACATTCCTCACACAATTCTGTCGGAACACTAATATGTGGCAGCCCCGTTACCATTCCACTTTGTTGCAACATCTTAAGATCCCTAAAGTTAAGGTGACCAAGACGGTAATGCCATAGCCACTCCTCTCTACTTGCCGCGGTAGCTAAACAACGATGCTCCATAACCTTTAACTCAACCTTAAAAGTTCTGTTGGCAGCCATCGGTGCTTTTAGAATCAACACACCATTTGAATCTAAAACGCGTAACATCTTATTCTCCAATCGAATTAAGTACCCTCTTTCAAGCAATTGGCCAATGCTTAAAAGATTGCACTTAATTCCCGGTATGTACAAGACATCTTTGATCCTAGAGTGTCCACCATTCTTTCTTCCGATCAAAACATCTCCTACCCCTTCGGCGCTTAAAGTAGTGTCGTCGGCAAACTTGACTTTACTCTTTGTCGCTTGATTGATTTGCACAAACCAATCCTTTCGACCCGTCATATGTGTTGAACAACCGGAATCCAAGTACCGTTCATCTTTAATTTGGACTCCCTCACGCACGGTAACTAATGCATTTCGATCCGAACACATTTTTTCGCCATTTTCCAAAACAGTACAGCTGCTGTCCCACACACTATCATCACAGTAGCTGCTGCCCGGAACATCAAAAATGCCATAATTCTCTTCCGTAATCATCACAAGAAGGGTATCTTCATCATCTACCTCTTCCCTAGCAACCTTCGCCTCATCCGCATCCTTTTCCTTGCGTTTTGAGCGACATTCTTTCGCAAAATGCCCAAGCTTTTGACAATTATAACACTTCACAGAACTTTTGTCAAACGGTTTGTGGGTGCTTTGATTACCATCTTTGGAGCTTCCTTCACCCTTTGAATTTTGTGGATCTTTTCCACCAAAATTCTTCTTATTTTTTGAAGTCCACTTCCCTTTCGATCTCTTGTTCTTCTCATGTAAACGCGCTTGCAAAGCGATCTCCGCTTTGGCTTTGTCGGTACTTCTCTCATCCATCCTTTGTTCATGCGCCTCTAACGAACTTTGCAACTCATCTTTACTCAAAGTTGTTAGATCCTTTGACTCCTCAATAGCCACAATAATGTTATCGAAACGTGATGTTAACGAACGCAACACTTTCGATACAACATTCTGCTCGAGGATCGTTTCGCCACATGACTTGATTTGGTTGACTAACCGGGTAATGCGTGTTATGTAATTGTTGATCGTTTCTTTGTCCTCCATTTGTGTTAACTCGAATTGACGTTTGTAAGTTTGTAACCTTACCACCTTCGCTTTGACGGCACCGGCATACGCTTTCTCCAAGATTTCCCATGCTTGCTTTGCGGATTCACAATCACCAACCTTCTCGAAATTGTCGTTATCAACACAAGAGTGAATCAAGAATAAGGCTTTGTAATCCTTTTTCTTTTCTTCCTTGTGTGTAGCCCTACGAGCATCGGTAGCATC